AAAGAAATATATTTATAAAATATATTAAATTTATTTCATTTATTTTTATTGTTTAATTAATTTGTCTAATAAAATCATTAAAGTAAAAAATAACAAGTTATAATAAAATACTTTCAACAATTATACGTCATGCATGAACTTATATTATTCAGTTTAGATTTTCTTGTAAATTACTTGCATTGTATTATTTGTGTATCTATTGTATACAGTTAATAAACATTTTTGTCTAAATTTATGCTCTATGTAACTTTTTTTTTACCAAAAAACATTTGTTCAATATTTTATAAGTTTAGGTTAGATAAGATTAAGGTAAATATTTAAATATAATTCCAATTCTTTTATTATTACGTATTTTTCTAATAGAAGAAATATAAATTTTATAAATTCAATATTAATATAAATGTGTATCAATGCGTTACATTGCCATCTTGAAATAGAACTATTGAAAATTAAATGAGAAGTAATGAGCATAAATATATATGTGCATATTTAAAAATTATTTATTGCGCAACACGTATTAAATTTTGTTAATATATAATACATAATGTATAATTTTCACATATTTATGTATTTATGTTAATCTTATGATTTGTAAATCTAATCCTCAAATTTTCTATTTTATTTTCTACGAACGTACGTCGAATCACTTTGCCGCATACATTTCTGTTTGAACATTCATAGAGTACGTAATATTCCACACGTACTCTGTAAGGAACAAAATACGAACACACGAGCGGTTGAATTGTTCTTTATTATTTTACACATCGAAATTACAAAAATATACCATATTCGTATATGTAAAAATGCCTGTTTTTCCAAAATATATTGTTCTATCATTGTTTAGACGCAATATTTCACAAAGTATTTTTAATGCTACAAGTATAAAAAATAGTGCTTCATGGTGGATACATCAAAAATCAAACACAAGATACTTTCACTATAATATAAATAAACTCTCTTTGGAATACTTCAGGTAAGCAGAAATTTTTGTTTATTAATTCTATTTATATATAAATTGTCTACAAATAATTACAATTATCATATATAATTACTGTTGTATTTCTAAAATATAAACTTTGAATATATTAAAATTTTTTGTTATCATGTTCTTTGTTAAGTAAAAATAATATATAAAATTTATAGATTTAATAATTTAAGTATTCTACTAAGGTAGTCATATACTATTCGTCAGAAATTATATTTTATTGAGTTTAATATATGTATACGTACAATCTATTAAAATAAAAATAATTCAGTGTATATCGTTCAAATGTATTGAAGAAAAAAACATATGTGTTATTCAATGTATTTTAAGCAAGATTCAAATGACCATAATTGTTATCTAAATTAGAAATGAGTAAAGTTATTTAAATATTATGTAAATTCTTTTTCGTGAGTACTAACAGTTAATATTTATTTGTTGCTTAAAAATGAAATAATTTAATATCTATTCATTAAACAATAGCATAATATGTATTAAAAACATTTGAATAAAAGATATATCATATAAATTACTTTTTACATCTGATATTTTCACAAATAGTGCAAAATGTCTATGAGATTCAATAAATATTAGAATGAAATATATCCTTCTATTTTTAAAGATAAATTCATTGGAAGATTTGCCAGAATAGAGATAATATAAATTAATATAATATTGTATATATTTTAAATATTTTAAGTCATAAAATATTAAATCTTGGAAATTCACTTAATAAATATTTTTATAACATCATATTATATGAAATATCATTTTTATCTACATCAAAGTAATTTTGATATGTAAATACAAATTAATTATATATTATTGTTTTATAACAAGTGTTAAAGTTGGTTACAAATAAGTTGCATATTAGTATGCTGAAATAGTATTATTTAATTATATTTCTGTATTAATGATCATATTGATAAAATTTTCTTTGCTCTCATTAGGCTTACAATGTATTATTGTTTGAGTTCCACGATGTGTTATTGCTTTTAAAATCACTGTAATGGATTTACTTATTTCTGTGTCCATTTCTTCTTCATCATTCTGAAATTTTATATTTTATAATTTTATAAACTTAAGATATATTCATGAATTTATTAAAATAAATGATAATTTACTAAAATACCAAGCTAAATTTTAGTACTATATTTTGTTACCATGGAATAAATACAAATATAATTATACCTGTAGAACATTATTTTGTACTTCTTCTAATTCAATATTTTTTTTATATGTTGACATATTGTAGTAACTTACAAGTATATTATTAGATAAGCAAAACTAACTGATGTGAAAATCATATTTACATAACAAGCGACTAGCTCAAAATGTCATTTCAAAGTTCACTGTATTTGAAAATCAAAACTACCTCATATAAAAGTCATATTTCTATTAATATGAAAATCAGAGATTTGAAAAACATTTTTTATTATATTGAAATGTCTGGTAAAGAAGATATAAATAGTTAAATTTATAACAATTTATGTATCCAAAAGGTCAGAAAAAATTATTGTACATAAAAATTGTATTACTAAAGTTCATTTTAATTTTAATTTTCATTATATACCATAGAAACAAAGGAATCTCATTTTTTATTCTCTGCTCATCTTTGTTCAATCAATTTTGTGATTGTTTATGTATGTATGTATATAATATATAAAAGATGCTCAATGACATATAGTATATATAGTATAAAAACAACAAAATATATACAATATAACAGTAAAAAAAGGTACAATAAAAAGTACATATAATAATAGAATAATAATAGAAAAATTACGTTAAAAAATAATTGATGTATTCCTGAAACGAGTATAAAGCAACCAGAGATATAAGAAGTACAATAATCCTTAAATTGTAGATTATCATATTCTATGCTATAAAGAAACAACACTTTTCTTTTATAAGTAGTGCTTCATAAGAAAAAAAAAAAAATAGTTTAACCCATTTTCTCGCAGAAATCTGTAAAATACAATACCAAAGTTCTATCTCATAGAAGTTTTTCATAAAAGTTTTTAGTGGTAACTGTTGAAATACTTTCGTGAGCCATTTTGTATTATTGCATTTCAGGATCACTATATCTCTGATCACTTCAGCTGATCTGTATTTATAGAAAGATCTACAAATCTTCTGTGATGCTTCAGTTAGATTTTTAAATAAATTTGATAATTAATAAACAAAGCCTTAAATGTAATTTTTTATCTTTCATTTCATATTACTTTCGTTAAATTGTATGAATTATCAGTCGAATGATAAAATATAATTCAAATGATTTCTACAACTATGACATATTTTATTATTCATATTTTACGTTTTTACGTGACAAAACTGTTTTTGCTGAAAACCCTCAGTTCAGAGTTCATTGTGTACATGTGTATATATATTAAATGCAATGGAATTCAACTGCAGTAGTCAGAGAAACTTTCCTCTTGTACAAAAATGAGTTCAAAGTACGTATCGATACCTCTCGATTTTCTCTTGTATTATCTGTTTACAAGTTACTAATATTTTAGTAAATATTTTTGCATAACATTAATTAGTTTGGTAATAAAATAAATGGAAATTTACAAATTTATAAATTCTGCAAATTGTAAGTTATTTAATTATCTTACTCGACAAAAAGATTGTAAAATTGTAGAAAAGGAGTATAATTGATAATCTTGTCTTATCAATTTGTTATATTATTAATTGGTGAATTATTATACAAAAGGGCCCTAAAATTGATAAACGTAGCAATATATACTTAGTTTTTTAATGATAACAATTATCAAGTATTGATGAAATTCTGAAAGGTTTGAAATTGAGAGTAGAATTTAAAAAAATATAATTCTATATACATTATTCACATTTTATACTTTCATATATTTAATTAGAAAATAATAGCATTTTTGCTATGTAAATTTCTAGCTTTT